TTATTTTATATTGTATATAGAATATGGGATGTTTTATTGCATTTTTCCTGGAGATTTTTTAAATTTCCACATAAAATGTCTTCCTGTCAAAATTTCTAGCTTCTATGATAATTATACGACTGGAAATTCCACAGTGAAGCCCAAAGCAGGAGAGCAGAGCGTTAGTAAAGGGGGACGCGCCCACGCCTCTGCTTCTAAAACATGTGCACTGGAAAAGCAGCCGTGAGCCTCAGCCTGGAGCAGGACAAAGCGGCCAGCAGGGTGGTAGGTCCAAGAATGTGGTATTCACCAAACTTGGCTCTTAAGCCACCTTATGCCAACAAACTCGCAGTGTTCCGGAGCCTAAAATGTCGGGCTGACACACATGCACATTCAACACGATTCCCCTCCGTTTAAGGTGGATTTTTTTTTTTTTTCCAAGATGAGCAAACACAAAAGCAGTATTCTTCCCTCCAACAGAAAGCTGTTCTGCAGGTGTCACAGGCGTTTACATTTTTGTTCAAAACTGTGTGCCTGATGCCGCGTCCCGGCGCACAGGTGGAAGTTCTTGGTGAATGGGTTAGGATGCTGCTTAGCCTTTCCAGCAGAGGCAAATGGACCATATCGTGGCAATTTCAACCATCCAAAGTGTACCTGAACCAATTCATGTGTATATTGAGCTATTTTACAGCTCAGAATGGGAACCTGAGTTGGTTCTTCCAAAAAGTATTTAAATCGATGTAATGACTGTTTCCTGATTACAATGAGCTCTTATCCATAAATATAACTTAGAATTTTAATTATGTGTTATAAAAATATGTGCTCACATACAAAAACTTACCTGACAGTTTTAATAGAACTGACAAGTTAAAAATACAGATTATTTGAGCAACACTTTTTTCTGTGAATCGAACTGGCCTATAAATGAAAGTGACTAATTAAGCAAATGGTTTTAAATAATTAAAGTTCTTTGTTATATACGTATGTGTGTTTAATAAAAGTAATGTTTTCTGTATATAAAATGGATTCAATTTCATAATACATCTAGTTTTCATCTTATTAGAATTATGTCATTATTATTAGATTTTGAAATCAGTAACTAGAAATGAATCCATGAGATGTGTGGGTTTTTTTTACTAGATTTCATCAATGCCAAAGGCCCCAACAAAATGTGAGATTCTGGTAATAATGTATGAATGTTTGTAAACTGAGCAACCTATTCATAGTTAAGTGTGGATTACAATATTCTTTTTGTTTTTAAAGATTTATTTTTTATTTGAAAGGCAGAGTTAGAGAAAGAGAGAGAGAGAGAGAGAGAGAGAGAGAGAGAGTGAGAGAGATAGCTACCTTCCATCTGCTGGCTCACCCCTGAAATGGCCACAAAGGCCAGCATTGGGCCAGACTGATTTCAGGAGCCAGGAGCTTCATGTGGGTCTCCTGTGTGTGTGCAGGGGACAGGCACTTGGGCCATCTTCCGCTGCTTTCCCAGGAATGTTAGAAGGAAGCTGGATCAGAAATGGAGCAGCCAGGACTCAAATCGGTACCCAAATAGGATGCCAGAATCATGGGTGGCAGTTTAACCCACTTCACCACAATGCGAGCCCCTACGACAAGTCTTTAAATCTTCTATCTGGGACTGGAATTGTGGTGTAACGGGTTAAGCCGCCATTGCAATGCTGGCATCACATATGGGCTTTAGCGTGGGCCCTTGCAACCACGTGGGAGACCAGCATGAAGCTTCTGGCTCCTGGCTTCAGCGTGGCCCAGCCCCAGCCTTTGCTGCTATTTGGGGAGTGACCCAGTAGATCAAAGGTCTTTCTCTCTCTGCCTTTCAAGTAAATAAAATAAATCTTTTATTAAAAAAAATAAAATACGACTTCTGTCTATCCAGTTTCCTCGCAAATTTCTGCCTTTACTGCTATGCCTGGGTTCCACACCTGCCTCTGGTCTGCGGTTTTCTGTTAACGTAGAACCTGAGAGGCAGCAGGTGATTGGGTTCCTGTAATTGGGTTCCTATCACTCATATGGGAGACCTGGATGGAGTTCCTGGATCCTGGCTTCTGAACATCTCCTTCTATACCTCGTGCCTCTTGCACTACTGTAGGCATTTGGGGAGTGAACCAGTGGTAGAAGTCTTGCTCGCTCTCTCTCTCTAACAAATAAGTAATGCATTAATTTTTAAACACACATTCTTATATTGCTTAATGCAGTGCATTAGAGCAGCTAAGAAAACAACTATATTTGTTTCTCTCTCTTCCACACCATATTTTTATCACTATTTCTTAAAGGGCAAATACATCTAACTAAATGCCTTTTTCCTAAAAATATGAAATGTTAACTCAATCTGTACTAGTTTAGTCCCACAATTATTTTATTTATTTATTTACTTATTGCAGCTGGAAATATAGAATAGTATTTCCTTTTGAATTCCAGAGATTCAAAATCTTATTTTATGCATTTTATCAAGACACATCTTATGAAGAGAAAAAGGATCTAGATTTTTAATAGCAACACATAATGTATTTTTCACATTTACTTGAAACTAGAATCAATAGGTGCTGGTCAGGGTCTTGGGCTGGGAACTAGGGAATATCATTCAACACAAGTGGCAATCACACAAGTCACACACGGTTCACGATTATGGAGGGAAAGTCCCAAGGAGGAGAGGTGGTGCTGAGACTTCTGTCTTGACCTCCCTTCCTTCCCTGTGTGTGATCAGGGAGGAGATGTTCAGGGCTACGTATCGCTCTCACCCAGCCACGGCCTCCCAGGGCCACAGCGTCCACTAAGGTGGCGCTGCTTCTGCTGCTGGCTTCTGCTTTGTTCTAGAGCCTGGCACGATGCCAGTCCCCAGCTCGCCGGCTGCGCTAAGGGCTTTATTCTATGTTATCCCCAAGGCTGCAAAAGAAGTGGTATCATTTATCACCTTAAACCCTGAAGACACAAATATCAGATGGTTAATAGACTAACCATTTCAGGAGGGGCAGCCCTCCCCATGCCATGTGACATTAACGCTGAGGAAGTGCAGTGTGCCAGCTCTGCCAAATGGAAGTGAGGCAGTGGCACTCTGACCTTTTCCTGGCCTACATGCTTTCTCTTCAGCACAATGTTTGCTAGTGGGACATACTTCTGCAGTTGCCTAATAAACTTTTTTTTTTTGGAAAATAGAACTGGTCTATATGTATATATTGCAGGTGCAGTCAGGCAACTAACAATTTTAAAAACTGTCATTTTCTTTTCATTTTAGTAACCAAGGTTACCAAAAACACATTGGCAACACGTGTTTAACAGGAAAAATAATTCCTTAGGAAAAATGAAACAAAATAAAATAAAAACCTTTCATGATTAAAACTCAGAATTCAGTGCAGCAAAGGAATTTAAAATTCTATTCTTAAATTTTAAAAGTATATAGTATACATAAACAGTTTTTAATTACAAAAAAAATTTGGTGTGTCTGGATGAGTCAATGATATACAAAGGCAGGATGATATGACAAATAATATTTAAATGAATGAACCAAGAGTCCATAATGAAAACAACATTTGAAAGCACAGGAAATCAAAATAAGGAGAAAGGTTTGCAAAAGCTGAATAAAAATTTCAAGGAAAAGCATACTAAACAAGCAGAAATTTTCACAGTTCAGAAGTTGGGATTTTCTGTGAACTTCAGAATGGAAACCTACTCATCCTAAATGGCTTTAAATAATTAAAATATTCATCCCATTTCTTCAAAATGATATACAGAAAGATTTCAAGACAGGAATAACTGTTAAGATATCAGATGTGAAAAGTAAAAAAAAAACCTCACCTAGAATGGACTTCTAGGAATGGTGGAAGAATTTAAGTGCAGAGCACGGTAAGAAGCTAACAGGACAAGTTATGAACCTGTATATGAGTATACTGGAATTTAAAAACAATATCCTGTAGAAATTTTGGAAAAGAAATAATTTGCTACTTTTCTTCCATACCCATATTCTTCTTTTATCAGTGAAAATATTTCAATAAACTTGTTTTTTCACTATCCCTCTGGCCGTGACAATGGTGCACTACAGAAGCTTTTTAGCTTAGGATGCTAGCCCCTCTTTGGAAGAGGCCTTACTGTTTTTATCTAACAGAATATAGCTGACATTTTTGATATTTAAATTTTGAAAGTTGAAGAGTTACTCTGCTTCTAAAACTAACCATGTGCAATTCTGATTTGGGTGGAAATGAGAAAAGGCCACAAAATCATGAAATCTAAAGCCAATAAGCAATAAAACTGTGATTTTGGTGGAACTTATCTCTATGTTGCTTCTAATAAGTGTTTATTCATTAGTTTAGCCAAAAAAAAAAAAAACAAAAAAACAAAAAAAAACAAAACCAGCTGCATGCTGTACCAGAAGGCAAGAAAAAAGAATAAGAAGGAATGAGCACCTGCCCTAATAACCTTACAATTAAGGTGAAAGATAAAATATAAGGTTCCTAAAGAAGTGGGAGAAGGGACACAGCCAAGGTTAGCCAAGTGCCCCCTGAACTGAGTTGCAAGAGGATCAGTGAAGAGTGAACATTAATGCAAGTCCTGAGACAAGAAAGAGCACGGCTTGGACCAAGAACTGAAAGAAGACTGGTGAGAAACGGGCTGTAAATATAGGGAGGAGACAAATAATGCAAGTCCAACTAATTCACATTAGCAATTCTGGGTTTTATCTTACTGAGCAATGGAAAGCTATTGAAAAGCATATTCCTATCTTTCCAATGCCAAAAATAAAACGAACCCCAAATTTACATTCATATTTTAAGATATATACTAGAAATAGAAATTGTGAAACTGAATTATAATGAGCAAATATTGGCTTCAGAAGCCCAGAAATAATCTAAGTTCTTTTAAATATCAACGCAAATCCTTTCCACACCTTCTGTGGTGTTTCCTCTTTAAATAAAAGTGCTATATGGGTGATCTCATTTCTTGGTGTGGCAGTAACGTTAAATTGCCTAAAGCCGTGCCCTCCACCCACTCCCAAATGAAAACTCAATGATACTTACTACATCCAGCCTTATAGCTGAAGCCTGGAGGAAGGAGGAATCCTTGCTGGGCAGCTGCAGCCAGGGTCCGTTGATCAGGAGGGAATACGGGGATCATTAATGGCGGCAGCTGACCTTGAACCTGCTGAACGTGATAGAGCGAATCAAAGAGAAGCAGTTTTGGTGTTCCATGCTTCCCACCCTCCTTATATCATGATAAAAGAAAATCACATATTCAGTTCCAACTACTGGCAAAGCAGCTTGCCAGAACCCTCGGCCAGAGGTCATACTTTTGAACTACTTTAGATAGGAGATCTTGTCAGATTCAACCTCTAGCCTGACGAATACTTTCCCTAAATGATATCCTGCACAGTGATGAAAACATCACTGCTTTGCATGGTAAGACTTCTTACTACATTAATGCAATCGTTTAAAAGTCACACCCTGGAAGGATCTGGTAAACCCCACCAGTTAGGACTAACTCTGCCTTCTAAAATGAAAAACTAAACCTGTAATGTTTTATGTATGAATAGCACAGCAGTTTGAAGGTGCTTTCTCAAGTTCGCATGTAAGACTGAGACTTTAAAACATCTCAGTAATAGAATTGGAAGAAAATGGGGAAAACGACTAAAACTCTCCCCCTTTCTTTATAGGAGAGGTTAACTGCTGCCAACAGAGAACAAACTTTCCCATGGCCTTAGAATTAGTCAGAACTGGATCTAGATTCCAGGGCCTTGAATACTCATTTACTCTCCCTCCCTTCATCTATCCATCCCCCTCTTTTGAAGGAAGTGAACCACTCCTCAAACTCCATGGCCTTTATTTTCACCATCATCCTTGGCATAACCTCTAATCTGTTGATGTTTAAGAGTACAGGAGTCACATTAGTTAATAAATTATCCAGCACAGTGGAGTAAGTCTCTTCTTTAACTGAAGAGAAATTTCTAGAAATATAATTTAATATAATCATTTCTGCAACAGTGTTATGATTTAGACTAATGTAGAGGCTGTCATTAGCCAAAATATTGAGTAAATATTGAGGCCAGGTTATCCTGGTGATCATTAGCATTTATCAGTGAGTGAACATTAGACGTGACCCAATGGTAAATTTTCATAAGAACTTAGCTTAGCCTAAGTACATTAACGCTGTATTGAAGGATGCCAGGGCCTAGTCCCAGCATCAGCAAAGGGGGCTAAGTGGGTGGGAAAAAAATCTTAGAATAGATTAGCTGATGAGCTCGTCTAATGGAGCTAAGTTGAATATGTTCTTGTCTACATGCAATAAAGAATTCAGAGGCAACACAGAGAGGAGTGCTATGCAAGCTAGCAAGGTTTAATGAGGTAGGGCATCTCCAGAAAGGATAGGCACCCTCTTCTGACAGAATCCAAGAGATAGTGCCTAGTTTACATTTAGACTGGGGTTTCTAAGGGAATCGAGTCCCATTCTTCCCACCCTTTCTCCTTCCCCACCTCCCTCTTCTACTGGACATAGGATTTACCGAGTGTGAATGGGGTAAAATTCCTCCCTAGGTTTGGCTACTCTGTGTTAACAGGTGGGGCAGCCCACCTGGCTCTGGGAAGAAGTTATTCAACTAGGGTATCTTCCTTGGAAGAAGGCTGTGAAGGATTTATCACACAATAATATCAGGCTGAGTAATCCACCTGGTACCTGGCAGAGAATTCCCAGGGTGCTTTCCTTGGGGAGAAGGCTGGGACCAACTGCAAAGCTACTGGGGTATGGGCGGAACATTGTAGTGGAAAATACCAGGCTGCTTCCAAGGCAGTTACACCTTTTTGAACTTTTGTTTTCCTCAGGGCCCTTACACATACACATGGGCTAATTTCTAAGAGTTACCTAAGAGTTCCAACTATGTGACCAAAGGATGCTCCTCACTGGTTCTCTCATCCCCTCACATATCAATTCTTGAAATATCTTAGAACAAACAGATTTTGCTACATCCGCCATGGACTCTCTCCCTCCCTGATCCTACCTAGACAGCAGCACACAACCCCCGTTGCCCCCCCTCTCCCCTTGCCTTAGGTGTCACATTGTGTTTAGATTTTACCTCTCGTGGTGCTCAACCAATGAGGAACTGGGGGAAGGGATCCCAGTGAAATAAGCACACAAGAAGCTGAATGTCTGAGGGCAGGGCCTGCTGCTATTGGCTGGTCATCACTTTCAATACTGGCTATCAATAACTGCCTCATTTTCTGCTTCCTCCATGTTCCTTCCTTTTGTGGGTAGGTGGTCTCAGCTGGGTTTATTTCCCAGTTACTAGATGAGAATTTAGGATCACTTTAAAACTCATGTATCTGATACTTTAATCTTCTTCACCAACCTTTCCATATATTAATTATTTGGGAAATTTTTAATAAATATGTACACTAAATGCAAGAAGCTGAGCTTGGCAGTAGAGATGTAATAGTGAACAAGAATTCTCTCTGTCCCCCCAAAATACACACAGCAGTTACAAACACATTTGCTCATAGAGCCTAAGAGTATAAATTTCTCTCAGACTTGTTTTCCTATTGGCATTATACTTTCCTAAGGCTCTCGGGATTCCCATAGATCTCATCATTTCTCAGTTTTCTAATTTGTCTACCTTCAGTTTCTCTTGGATTTAATTTTTCATAGTAAAACTCTGAGTTGTATCAGATTTTGGTTGGCAATTGTAGGGGTGCAGAGTGAGGATTTTATGAGGGAGGAAGAGAGAGGCATGGACAAAGACAAGGAGGTAGAGAAGGAAAAGCACTGCAAGAATGAGAGACACTTTTTAAGCAAGGAATACAAATTGGAAAACATCTCCTGGCCAAAAGGATTTTAAAACTATCATGGCCACTAGAGGGAAACCACAAAAGGAATGGCAATACTGGCAATAGGGAAGGAACAAAGAGACTGTGTCTGAGGTTTAAGCTGAAGGTTTGCACCAGTACAGCCAGCCAATTGTTTAAAGACTCAAAGATTAGAAACTGCCTATTGAACAAGTGTCCTAAAACAATGGCAGTCACAGCAGTGCAAAACACCACGGGGTTAGTTCCACGTATGACAAGAATGCAGACCAGAGTAACAAAGAACCAACCAACCAACCAACCAACCAACCACATCAGTTAAGGGATTCACCAGATCGTTTATATTTTACTGTTTCTACATTGTCCTATTTTACATAGCACATCTCTTTTCTAAAATGTCACTGGTTATAAGATACACCACAAATTTAATAAAAGCATTTTGGAGTGAAGAATGAAAAAGCCTTTAAATTACACATATATAACGGTTATAAGAGGCCACATGTTTTGCATACATAAAATTCTGGGAAAGTGACTTCTAGAATTAAAGCAACAACAGTTTCTTGATTTAGTGTAGTTTTTTAACACTTGAGAATCACCTTGAAAGCTCTGGAAAATATCAGTGCCCAGACCAACGAAATCTGTCTTGCCATCAGCAATTTTAAAGCTTGTTTGATGACTGCAATATGCAGCCAGATTTGAGAGTAGTGGTCTAAATAATTCTTTCAGTCACTGTCAACACATATTTTTATCTCTCGCGAATTATCTTTTGATATACACAAGGGCACTTAAAAAAGTATGTGGAAAATTTAATTAAAACATATATTTATTTTGATGCAAATTTTTTTTAAAAAGATTTATTTATTTGGAAGACAGAGCCTCAAAGAGAGAGAGACAGAGAAAGAGAGAGATCTTCCATCTGCTGGTTCACTCCCTAAATGATTGTAGAGACCAGAGCTGGCTGGTTCAAAGGCGAGGAGCCAGTAGTCAGGAGCCAGGAGCTTCCTCCAGGTTTTCTATGTGGGTGGCAGGGGCCCGCCCACTTGGGTCATCTTCCACTGTTTTCCCAGGTGCATTAGAATGCACCTGCACTGGAAGTAGAGCAGCCGGATTCAACTGGCACCTATATGGGATCCTGGTTTCTCAGGCAGTGGCTTTACTGGCTATGCCATGACACTGGCCCTTGATGCAAAGTTTGAAAGCCATGCATATGAATACCTTCACCAAGATGATAGAAAATTTGTATTATGAAAAAACTATGGGTTTCAAAAAAATTTACAACAAAATAAATGGGCATTTTAATTTCACTTTTCTACAGACTTCGTGAGTTCCCACTTCAGTAGTGGAAAATGAGACTTTCCTGATGATTACAGGTTCTGGAGTCCACAAATATAAAACCAGTTTTAAGCTTTATTTCTCATAAAATTCCTTCAAAATGAGTCTTATATTTTATTTTGTAATTAGAATTACTTATTTGAGAAGTGCAGGAAAGACAGACAGACAGATAGACTGGTAGACAGGCAGACAGATAGAGAGATCCCATCTGCTGGTTCACTCCTCGAATGTTCGCAATGGCAGGAATGGGCTGAGGCCAAAGCTGGGAGCCAGGAACGTAATCCAGGTTCCTTGACACGAGGGGCAGGAAGCCACCACTTGAGCCATTACTGCTGCCTCCCCAGGGTTTGCGGTAGCTGTAAGGTGTGACCAGGAGCTGGAGCAGAGGCAGGAATAAAATGAGGCCCTCTGAATTGAGATACAGGCATCTTAGCTGCCTGGCTAAGTGTCCACCCCCTGTACCTTATCTTATTTTACAGGTCCCTCTTGTTTAAAAAATTCTGATGGTTTGCTTTTACCTGGAGACATATGTTCCTGAGCACAGTGTTCACAAGTCTGCACTACTTGTCCCCAGTCTATTTTTCCAGGAATTTCTGCCATCCTCCTCCCCATAGCCTCTGCTCTTGCCCCAGTGGCTCCTAGAGAGCTCTTTGCATACTGTGTGTTCTTCCAAACTGGAATATGTCCAATAATATTTTCTCCTGTTCTAAATCATTTCTCTGTTTCTTCCTGGCAAACATCTAGTCATTCTTCCAAGGCTTTCGAGACTCATACTATCTGCTGATGAGGCAGTTCTTTCTTCTGGCACCAAATTTCCACCCAGAAGGAGCTGCTTCTTCTCTTCAGTTCATAAAGCTACCATAATACTTGCTGAATAAAAGTTACTTGGACAACATTAAGTTTGCCCTCTGACCTTATTTAGGAAAAGGGTTGCAACCGACTGCTCATTGTGTCCTCAGAGCTCAGCTGTGGCAAGCAGAAAACTATTCGATGTAGTAACGAATCAGAAATAAAGAAGCTGCA